ATCCCTGGGACCCACATAGAAGAAGAAGGAGAGAGAGAGAGAGAGAGAGAACTGATTTCAAGTTGTCCTCTGACCTCTGTGAGGACACTATGGTGCTCATTCCCGAATACACAAATAAACAAATGTGACAGTAATCACAACAATCACAATAGAGACCAAACCCACCATCTGTGAGACTTCACGTCCCAGAGACAGCTGCCACAGGGAAACACATCTCCTACAGGGGGCCCATAAGTACCTTGTAGGTTAGAAAACCTGCTCAGTTTGTCTGAGGCCCAGGATAGCCCACCACAAGAAATTCTCAGTCTCAGAGGCAACCACAGGGCTGCTAAACTGCAGTACCCCTTACCTACAACTGGGTAATTCTACAGGAATGGGGCTCCCAGTGTTGTGAATTGTTCTGGGGTCTGCTGACCGGAGGAAGGTCACACTTCCTACACATGTGTAACATGGAGGTCAACATCAGAAGTCTCTAGATAGACCAGGCTGTGTTCAAATGTACAGAGATCCACCTGCCTCTGCCTCCCCAGTTCTGGGACTAAGGTGTGTGCCACCAATGCCCGGTTTTATCTTATATCTTAGATTACAATTTTTTTTTAGATTTTATTTTTATTTATTATGTATATAGTCTTCTGCCTGCACGGCAGCAGGCGACACCAGATCTCATTCAAGGTGGTTGTGAGCCACCATGTGGTTGCTGGGAATTGAACTCAGGACCTCTGGAAGAGCAGTCAGTGCTCTTAACCGCTGAGCCATCTCTCCAGCCCTAGATTATAATTTTTAAGTATATAATTTGTGTGGGGACACACAGATGCCACAACCCACAAGTGGAGGTCAGAGGACAGTTTGGGGGACTTGGTTCTTTTACTGAACCTGGAGCTTACCAATTGCTTGGACTGGTTAGGGATTCCCCTGTCTCGCAGCGCTGGCATTACAGAGCCACGCTTCAGTGGCTGGCTCTAATTTTCCTCCTGGAGGTGAGAATAGGACCCTGCCTTGCTAGGCAAGCAGTCTGGCACTGAACTAAATCTCCAGCCCCTTTGATTTTTTTCACATGGGTTCTGGGGATGAAACTCAGGTTCTCAGCTTGCTCACCCAGCAATATACCGACTAAGCCATTTCTCGGCACCACCACCCCCCTTTTTTTAGAGGTGTTAGTTATTTTATGAGTGGTTTCTTGCATGTGTGCACCATGCTGTGTGCATGTGTGCATGCCTGCTGACCACTGAGTTCTCCTAGACCTGAAGTTCTGGACGTATGAGTCATCGCGTGAGTGCTGGGATCTTCTGTAAGCACCAGTGTTCTTAGCTGCTGGGTCATCTCTCCAGCCCACCTCCACCCCATCTTTTAATTTTTATTTTTTTGGAGATAGGATCTCACATAGCTCAGGTTGGCCTTGAACTCACTCTGCAGCAGAGGGTGATCCTCCTGCCTCAGCCTCCCAAGGGATGGTCTGGACTCAGATAACTGATGTGGGAAGACCCACCCCAATATGAGATGTTATCTCTCCACGGGCGGGGCCACCATGCCCTCTTTGCTGTGGTGGACTGTCTCTTGGAACTGTAGGCCAAAACAAACCTTTTCCTCTTTTTCTCTCCCAAGACAGGGTTTCTCTGTGTAGCCCTGGCTGTCCTGGCACTCGCTCTGTAGACCAGGCTGGCCTCGAACTCAGAGATCCGCCTGCCTCTGCCTCTTGAGTGCTGGGATTAAAGGCATGTGCCACCACTGCCCAGAATTTCCCTTACTCTTTTAGTGTGTGTGTGGGTGTGCACACGTGTGAGAATATGTGTGGTGGATGTCTTAGAGCTCCTGTGTGGAGGTCAGAGGACAACTTGCAAGAATTCGTTCTCCCTTCCATCATGTGGGTCCTGGGGACCTAACTCAGGCTGTCAGGCTAAGCTGCAAGCACCTTTAGAGGCTGAGCTCTCTTGCCAGTCCCCACTTCCTGGAGTTGCCTTTGTACGGTATTTTCTTGCGGCAACCAGTCATTTTAGCTAATCCTCCTGGGCACTGACACTGAGGCCTGGAATAACTTTGTTGTGAGAGGCTTTTCTGTGAGTTACAGGGTTTTTCAGCATCCCCGGTCCCTGCCCACATGGTGCCAATAACGTCTTCCTGCTTTCCATTCGAGACAAAAAAAAAAAAAAAAAAAACCAAACTGCCAAATGACCCCCGGGAAGGCTGTGGTAGGCTGAATCATGCCACCCCCCACAGATGTTCTCATCATAAAGCTGGGGACCTGTGAAATCGTTGAGCTCATGTGTTGTGACTCAGGGTAATCCCTGTGGGTGGAGAGACTACCTGGGATTATCTGGGTAGACCCAGTTTAGTCATACAAGCCCTTAAATGACCCAGTCATGTCCAGGGCAGATCCTGGCTCTGGAGGGTGTGGTCACAGGTGAAGGGAGGAGCTGCAGAGCAAGAGAGGACAGCTCTCAGGACGCCAGACACCCTGATGTCAGCCTGTGTGTCTCCCGTCCAGGACAGCAGGATGAAAAACCTGTACCGTTTTAGGGACCAATTTTGAGGTTGTCTTCTTCATTTTCTTTTTTTGATTTTGTTTTTTTCCGAGACAGGGTTTCTCTGGTAGCCCTGGCTGTCCTGGAACTTGCTCTGTAGACCAGGCTGGCCCTGAACTCAAGAGA